TCTTATAGTTCCCTAAGTGTATACTGTTAAATTTTGGTCTCAGGTGCGAGGCAACGGTATCTGTTCTTCAAACTGGTTTTGGTCAATAAGTATCTTCAAAAAAAAAATTGTTTTTTTTTAATTGTGATGTTAAATGTAAACATACTTTAATTGTTGTAAGAACATTGGTTAATAAAATTTTATATCAATTCTTAACAATGGTTTATAATTTAAAATCCATCGAAGTGAAGTAATTGTTTTGTCATTTCTTTTGCAAATAAATTATATGGGCGATACTTTACTTATAAAAAAAACATAGATAAAAGTGAAACAATAAAATTAAATGTAATTGACCTTTAAAACAATTACGATCTTATAATAAATATTAAAAATGCACGATAACCTCTTAAAATTAGTCGGCAAAATAATTAAATTAATTCTTTACGTTAATGTTGCATATTCGAATATATAATAACCATTTGTCTTTATTGATTCGATTATGATTAGGGGCTCTCTTAAATATTAATGCCGCATATTAAAAAATATTACATAAATTTGTACATTGAATTGCGCGCTCTTTAAGCAACAATAAATCAATTCAGTAATAAAAGCCTTGTGTTTTCCGTCGACCTTCGATATTTTTTTTTAAAAAAAAATTAAATAAATAAAACCAATTAATAAATAAGTCTCAACACAAATTAAATCCATTTCTAAATCTTCACCGATGTCTCATTCTAACTTATCCGCTTATTCAATTTCTAATCCTATTCCTAATCCTGATTCTTCAATTTCTAATCCTATTCCTAATCCCGATTCTTCAATTTCTAATCCTATTCCTAATCCCGATTCTTCAATTCCGAATCCTATTCCTCACCCCGTTCATTCAATTCCGAATCCTATTCCTCATCCCGTTCATTCAATTATTGATCCCGATTCTTTAATTATTGATCCTACTTTAATTTTTGATTCTAATTCTCCAATTCTTGATCCTCAAAATGAAGAGATTCATGAAAGTTATTCCGATGATGACATTAATATTAAAAACAATACAAAAAATTCAAAAAATTCAAAAAAAAGATCACCAATTCACGACTATCTGGATGAAACTGATGACGGTCTTCGCGTTTGTAAAATATGTAATAGCGACCCTGATATTGATAAACCTAGTAAATGGGGCATGTTTACCTCTTTGACAACAATATCACGCCATTTCGAAAGTAAACATCCAGATGTTTACAGAGATTTTCATCGAAAAAATGCAAAAACTTCTCACCCTTCATATTCGATGACTAATAAAGTTGGCAAAGATCGTATCAATTCTTTAAACCACGACCTATATCAGTTAATTATTAAGAGCCAATTACCCTTTTCAATAGTCGACGCCGACCCTTTTATTAAGTTCGTTTCAAATCTCGATCCTCGATACAAACTTCCATGTCGCCAGACTGTCTCCACAACTATTAAAAATAAATTTGGATCAATGAGAACAGAAATTAAAAAAGTATTAAAGTCAAGCTTTAGTAAGCTGGGACTTACCATTGATGTTTGGACGGCATGCACTAAGC